TAATGTGTCCCGACTAGGCTTGTGGGTTATAAAGGGATCTGAAAAAAATGAGAAAGAAGAAGCAGCCCGCACACTGCTCTTGGTAGTATCACTGCTCTTTAATAAGATTTACGTATCGGCCTCAAGGCCAGCAGCTCTGATGAAGGCCTTGAGGCAGATTCGTAAAGCTTATTAAAGAGCAGTGATACTATCGAGAGCAGTTGCGGGCTTCTTCTTTTTTCTCATCTTATTCAACTGTTACCATGCACCTGCAAAAAAGATAGCTCAGATGTGCGAGTGCCTTTTGAACTTATAAAGGGATCTGAAATTATGATTTAGCCTTGGCTTCAGGATCTTATTCTGAATCAATGTGCTGTGAATAATTCATGTAGATTTACTGACACTGGGATTGGGCTTTGCTCTTTTAAATCGATGGATCGGTTACTATTCATAGTCCCAACATGCTGTGATATTTGTCAAACAAACCCCAATGGGTATTTATTGCAGTTTACTGTCAATACTGAATCAAGTCACAATGGGGGACTGCCACAGGTTCTAAAAAATGAATGCTGTGTACTGTAGTAGACCAAGGTATGTTAATGCTGTTGAGTGATTGATCTTATGAGGATGAAACTATAGAAGTGAACATATAAGATCAGCAGTTCAGTTTATAACCAGTTTTCCTTTTAATGTTCCATCTTCATTTTAAATAGGTATACAGGTCATTTGTTTATATCATTTTTCTGGATCAATAAAAACAGTTTTACACATTATTTACAATCATACACAGATGAACAATGTGGTTGCCGTGGTTATTTCAGCACTACACAGGAAACATATTATTAAAAATGTGAAAACCCCTACCAGCCCTTACCCCAGCTCATAGTGGCTTTGGCACCGTTTAAAACTAGAAAGTATGTCTGTCTGTGTGTGTTATTTCCCCCTGCAGCAGACTGAAAATTAAAATTAAAATTCACATATGAAGTACAAGCCTCCTACAAGGTCACATCTTCATTATGTTTTTTATTTCACAGCCCTATTTACAGTTAGCTGCTCAGTCAGAATACGGGGAGCCACCAGTGCTTTCTGGCATCCCCTTCTTGATCAATCAGCTGGGAGACCAGAGAGCAGTTATTGGGAAGGAAAGAGTAATGAAAATATGCTTTTGTTGTTCTGCCTATACATCATAACTGTACAAACTATGTTAATATCTCATATAAGACTTTCTGTTCAGTGGCACAATGGTATTGCATTAAAAAATCAAACAAATGTGAATCTAGCACTCACGCACTGCAGTCATTGATATTCCAGAAGGTTGGTTCTAGAATGGGTAGGAGAATATCGTCAGCTTGGCTTCTCTGTGTCAGCAGAGCATGTGCAGACCAGCTGGTATTCTCATGTAAACGTCTGTAGTTTCCGAACGGTTTGACCTACAAACTATTATCACCACTCTATGGAAAGGGGAGACTCTCCCCTTTGTTCTACGTCCCCCACAAGTGTCAGGAGACTCGTCTGAAGGTAACCGGTACCGGTTTAAAAAAACGAATGGAAGTATGAAGGTAGTTTTGTGCCTACCCCAAAAAGGGGTTAAATATGTGTAAAAAAAAAAAAATATATATATATATATATATATATATATATATATATATATATATATATATATACACTACCAGTCAAAAGTTTGGACACACCTACTCATTCAAGGGTTTTTCTTTATTTTTACATTGTAGAATAATAGTGAAGACATCAAAACTACGAAATAACACATATGGAATCAACTTTTGACTGGTACTGTATATTTACAGAAAAATATATGGGGGATTGGATGAGATGTAGAAAATTACATAGATTATAGCTTCCATCAAACTCCAATATTAAAGCTGATCTACCCCCTAAAAAATTAATTAAAAATATAAACAAGTGACAATAATAGCTTTCACCTGGATGTCATGGCAAGAGCAGGTGTTCTTAAAGCTGCAATATGTAACTTTTTGGGAGACCCGACAAAATTAACATAGAAATGTGAGTTATAGATCTGTCATTCTCATTGAAAGCAAGTCTAAGGAGCAGTACAAAACATTAGGAACACCTGCTCTTTCCATGACAGGCTGACCAGGTAAAAGCTATGATCCCTTATTTATGTCATCAGTTAAATCCACTTCAATCAGTGTAGATGAAGGGGAGGAGACAGGTTAAATAAGGATTTTAAGCCTTGGGACATGGATTGTGTATGTGTGCCATTCAGAGGGTGAATGGGCAAGACAAAATATTTAAGTGCCTTTGAATGGGGTATGCCAGGCGCACCGGTTTGAGTGCGTCAAGAAGTACAACACTGCTGGGTTTTTCACGCTCAACATTTTCCCGTGTGTATCAAGAATGGTCCACCACCCAACTTGACACTGTGGAAAGAATTTGAGTCAACATGGGCCAGCATCCCTGTGGAGCACTCCATGCCCCAACAAATTGAGGCTGTTCTGAGGGGAAAAGGGGGGCGCAAGTCAATATTAGGAAGGTGTTCCTAATGTTTTGTACACTCAGTGTATATATATATATATATTCTGGACTCTGACATTGCTCGTCCTGATATTTAATTAATTGTTTTACTTTTTGGATTATGCGCATATTTTTTGTATTGCTAGGTATTATTACTGCACTGCTGGAGCAAAAAAGACAAGCATTTTGCTGCACCTGCGATAACATCAGCAAGTCTGCGTACGCGACAGAGATAACCAGAGTATAGCTATGGAGATGACAGTAGGTAACAGGGACCTTCCCTACTTTCGCAGTATCTTATCCAGAGCGACTTACAAATTGAATACCGTATTTTCCGCACTACAAGGCGCACCGGAGTATAAGCCGCAGCAGCTAAATTGAATGATATTGAATGATGTGTACATATATAAGCCGCACTGGACTATAAGCCGCAGGTGTTTTAATGTTTAATTACCATATGTAAGGGTTCGTGCACAGAGGGGATTGTCGGGAAAGAGACAAACTGTCTCGCTCTCGTAATGTCTGTCTGTCTTGCTCTCGTTCTGTCTCTCATACCACTCTCGGTTCCACTTTTACTTTTGCGCGCTACCTGTCTCACTCTTTTCCGGCCTCCAGCTTTTCCTGCTGGAGCCCGCCGCTTAAAGGTGGGGGGCGCGGACCGGTCATAGAGCCCATAGAGTTAAAGTTGGTGGACTGTAACCTGTAAAATCCATAGATTTAGGAGGTCTTCTAGTGGCCGTTAGCTGTAAAAATCCATAGATTAGCCGCACCGTTATATAAGCCGCAGGGTCGAAAAATTGGGAAAAGGGCGCGGCTTATAGTCCGAAAATTACGGTACATTTTGTAATACATAGAAAACATAATGTAGAAAGGGTTGAGGGTGATGTTTAGATTTGTGTAAAGTGCTGCATCTGAAAGGGAGTGGAGTAGCAGTAGTGGTTGGAGCTGCTCTCAGCTGCAGGTGTGTAGGCCAGTCTGTCTTATCTAAAACACAGCATCAGACAGCATCCAGTGAGATGCAGCTCTCCTGCACACCTCAGACAGTTATGAAGCGTTTCAAGTTGCTTTCCCTTTGAATGACGGTGTAGTCTTTCATGCATTGGGATGATTGCTGCATATAAAAAGGTCTAGAAACCTGCATCGGAGTCCCTCGCCCGAGTTACACAGCTCTCAACTGGTGAAACACTTACTTAGTGATATGGGTTGGGACGCAATGACTAAGGAAAGGCAGACCCCACCAGTGGCAGTGCAAATTATTATAATTTTTTATAAATAATGATCTAACAAATCCAAGGTGACAACAGCGTGACTCTTTCAATTGTTCAATAGCTGATAATTTGAGATTTAAAAGCCACCAGGCCCTTGATACCTCTTGCTGCATATAGAACAGGGGATATAACACTTGTTCACCAAAGAACACATTACATGTGAGGGGACATGCATAAAATGAGGTCATACAACACAACTCTATAAATCAACCATTTACATCGGTTCCATTTATCTCAAAGGAAGATTACTCAAAAGACACATTATTGGCAGTCCATTCTGTCTTCAAAAGAAGCTGAGGGAATCCAATCCAAACGAAGCAGGTACTGTATATATGGGGTTTTCAGTAACATTTATTGATCATTTACACTGACAGGCTCCATGTGGAACAACCCATCAAAACTTCCTATGACAACCCAACCACTGGTACCTTAGCTAGTGAAGGTCTGGGAGTTTTAGTCCCACAAGTACTAAGAGTTAGCATTATGGTGTAAATACTACAGTATGCCATCTAACCAAAGAGAAAGACAATCTCTGAGTTTTAAATTAGATTAACGAAATAGCAGCCCAACAACACTTTAATACAAGAGTTAGTCAATCTTCACATGGACGAACAACAGAAGGCAGCACTGAGGATTATTAAGGAGCTCTTTCAATATGCAATCATCTTCACGTTATGGACGGAGCAATAGAGTCAACACCAAATGAAAGAGTAGTGATGGTCATGGGGGAAATTGTATACTTGCTGGCTGATTTTCACACAGGTACACAAGCAGACACACACAGTCCACCAATAGTAACTTTGAATAAAGACAAAGTACAACCATGTATTCAGACATCCTTCAGCAGGTGTAGGATCTACAGCAAACAGAGAGAGAAAGAGAGAAGAACACTAGATTTACACCATACTGCTAACCATGTCCTTCAGGTGATGTTGGTTCCTCGTTAATCCGGCTGACGCAGGGTATTGTCGGATCTCCTCCAAGCTGGCAGATGTTCAGTGCGTGCCGCTACCTTGGCAGGGCCCGTACTACCCAGCATGCCTCAGAGGCGGCCTGGCGAGCGTTGCGGATGAGCAGAGAAACAGTGAGTGAGTGGAGATGCAATTCGATTTGATGCGTCGGTACGCTGTCTGGCTGGCTGCTTGTTCTCTAGTGCCTGCACTTTAAACATAGCGACCCGGACGGAGGAGGGGCTAGGGCGGCCCCTACCCCACCCGTCGTTCCCCTTCCTCTGGAGGGGGCGTGGCCAATCACTCACTTCCCCAGCCGCTGCTCACAGGAGGCGTAGTGCTGAAGGGCACTGAATAAGTCCTCATAGGAGACATCCACATGGGAGGGTAAGGAGCTGCAGGAGAGAGGGAGGATGTTAGAGACATATACTAGAGAGACACCTCTAGCCTACTTCAGATGGCTGTAGTTTATCTGCTAAATAATGTTGTTAAAATAGATACCAAGCAATAAGGGATCAACAGAAATGTCATGTTACATTTGTAAAAAGGCTCCCTGCAAATACAATTATGTACTTTACGATGGCTGTCTAAAAATGACCGAAAGCTGCTGCTTGAGCTACAGTCAAAGCAGTTCCAGTACTATACCGCCATCTAGTGTTTGGTAGAGGTAAGTCTAAACAGTCCTTCCAAATACAGTATATGTCAAATAAAATGTTGCTTTGTAAACACTGATTACATACAATAATGTGGGCCATTCTGACTGAACTTCATGACTGCCAAACAATGACACATGTCTAAAAATAGGATTTATGTAATTGTTAGTGATGCATCATCATTTGGTAAAGTCTAATTGCATATCTTATGTAGGCTGAACTGCAACATTTTCTCTATGTATTTCCATTATCTTTAAAATAGCACTACTACTTCTACTTGGTTACACAGCAGCATTTTTTAAAGTGTTGCAAATCGGTCAAGCCAGAAGATAAGTGAGGCAGCAGAGACAGGTTTACCAGTTAATTTCCACAGATGAAAACAGGCCCATATCAATTCTACTCAGGAGGTAAAGCATAGGTACGCACACACTTTCTCTGTCTCCCACACACACACACACACACACACACACACACACACACACAGAGAGAGAGTGGCTATAAATCGGACAGGATTAAGAGAAGAACCTCTGTCATTCCTGTCCAGCTCTACAGAGCAGCAGCTCTCCAAGCAGTCTTCTACACATGAGTAAGGCAGCCTCATCTAATACACACACGCAATACTTACATGAACTCTGTCAGTCTGATGTGCCAAGGCAGGAACCCCAGGGTGCTTTCTACTGGGCCGAACTTCAGAACCAGGTCTGGATCTGGTGTACTCTTCGACTCTGCACAAACAGAGAGAGCATGGACAGAGGTAAATGAAAAACACAATCAATGGATATCTCACAAAGTGGCCTCTGCGGAGCATTTAACCCTTGAGTCAATTTCTGCGGCCCTGCGGAAATCAAATTAGCATAATAAACAAAATCCCCATAAAAATCCACCTGTTTAAGCTAGATAGATTGTTTTTGCATGGGCTGCGTCTCAATCCACCGCATCTGCCAATGGCGGCATTCCGCATCTGCGGCGGAAGGTGGCTGAGCTACAGCGGTGTTTGTCAGACCATGAGACATCCCGAAAAATCTGTCTTCTTCCGAAAACGTCTGTAGCGTCCGAACGGTTTGGCCTACAAACTCTATGGAAAGATGACTCACGAACATGTCAGTTGTTTTGCTCTAAGACCCCCACAAGCGTCACGGGACTCATCTGAAGTCGATACCACCGATCTGCCAACTTCTGTCTGTAGCTTCCGAACGGTTTGGCCTCTCACGAGCATGTCGATTGTTTTGCTCTAGGACGCCCCCAAGACTTGCCTGAAGACAGCCCGGTACCAGTTTTAAAAAATGAATGGAAGTATACAGTGCCTTCAGAAAGTATTCACTTTTTCCACATTTTGTTGTGTTACAGCCTGAATTTAAAAACTGATACATTTAGATGTTTTGGTCACTGGCATACATACACATAATACCCCATAATGTCAAAGTGGAATTATGTTTTTCCAAATGTTCCCAAATTATTTACAAATGAAAAGCTGAAATGTCTTGAGTCAATAAGTATTCAACCCCTTTGTTATGTCAAGCCTAAATAAGTTCAGGAGTAAAACAATTTCCACCAGACACTGGGAGATGAATTCACCTTTCAGCAGGACAAAAACCTAAAACACATGGCCAAATCTACACTGGAGTTGCTTACCAAGAAGACAGTGAATGTTCCTGAGTGGCCGAGTTACAGTTTTGACTTAAATCTACTTGAAAATCTAAGGCAAGACCTAAAAATGGTTGTCTAGCAATGATCAACAACAAATTTGACAGAGTTGAAGAATTTTGGTGTGGAAAGCTCTTAGACACTTACCAAGAAAGACTCACAGCTGTAATCACTGCCAACGGTGCTTCTACTGACTCAGGGGTGTGAATACTTATGTAAATGAGACAGTATTTCTGTATAACAAAAAATATATAAATTTGCTAACATTTCTAAAAACATGTTTTCACTTTGTCATTATGGGGTATTGTGTGTAGATGGGTAAAAAAAATATTAACAGAACCTTTAAAAAAAATACAAAACAATTATTAGATCAAACACTGAATTTATTACAAACACTTACTGCTATTATCCCATTGAAAAATTGAATAACTGATTCATACATGGAAAAACAGATAGTAAAAAAAAATCTAAAAGGAACTTTATTATTGAAGTGTCTGTCCTATATCTGAGAGATATAAAAGAGATCAGGCTTATTTTTTGTTGTTGACATATTTAGGAGGTTGGTTTTCATAAGGACTGTTGAAAAGATTGAGAGAAACTAGCTATCTGAAATGACAGTTCAATTTCTTGAATGTTAGGCTGCATTTACACAAGCAGCCCAATTCTGATCTTTTTGTCACTAATTGGTCTTTTGATCAATCAGATCAGATCTTCTGCCAATAGTTTGGCCAAAAATCAGAATTGTGGTGCCTGTGTAAACGCAGCCTTACAGAACTACAGCAGCAGCTTGCCAAGCCCCTTAGATAGTGAGATGATTAGAGAGTCCCTTTCACTGTGCCCCCCTGGATCCTGACAGCTGTAGAGAGAGGGTCTCTGACATCTGACTGTACTGAAGAACAGCTGCACTTACTGGGCTTGAGAGGGAAACAAACCATAACTTCACTGTACACTGGACTGGACTTAACTGCACTGAAGTGAACTCTGCTATCCTCTGTAGTTCATATTCTTTCTCATTAGTTTGTTCATACTCCTGCCTTGGGTCTCATCCATCACCTTCTACTGAGCGAGTGCAAATGGATATGTTCCACTGAAGTACTCGTGACGAGATTTAGAGCTGGTGAGGGTGATTAGTCTTAGCCAGGGACTAACGATGGGCAGAGCCGGGGTGGGCAGAGGGCTCAGGGAAAATAACCCACTTTGAGAGAAGAGCTCTCTCTGGCACAGACTCCCAGTGCTTCATGTTAACTTCATATTTTGATCAAACACTGTTGGAGCTAGTCTAACAGGGGGCTCCTTGACCTTTACTCAATCCCTTTCCTCCATCCTTGCTGAGCTTCAAATAGAGTGAAATGGCTACTCTGAACATCATGCCAAAGGAGAGCTGGTGAGCTAGACTTCACTGACTTTACTCCAGCTTGTAATACGGATATGATCAATATAATGTCTGTGTGGTTTATCCTGATAAGATAAAACAATTAAATAAAAGGTATTGCCCACCGCCAATAAATAACAGCACTAAGGACAACAGTGACAACCAATGTCCTGTCCTCCTCCTGATCATGGAGCAGGGACCTCCTCCTCACCTCTGAGTAGAGAGTCAAGCACAGTGACGTTGATGTCTTTGGATGTCTTCTCCATCTGTTCCACAGCTCTACACAGCTGCTGTGCTGCCTGGACGATCCTCAGCTTCCCATCGTCGGGAGACAGCACATTCACCACCGACTGACACGACAGCACTGTGGACACACACAGGAATACGGTCATAATAAGACCACAAACACAAATACCGGTACTCAGGCACACACACAACCACAGTAATAACACCAATCATTGGTAAACGTGTCAGGTTTCTTTTTGACTAAAGGTCAGCAGGTGGGAACTTGGAAATCCTGCTTCACAATCCTGCTGTTGCGCTTGAATATCGCATTCATAAAACAGGTGTTTTTTGGATTAGAAAACAATGAAGAACAGGATCATATCATTCATAAGTTATATTAGTGAATTATAGGGTCTCTGTGAACAGGAATTTATTTTTTACATTTGAGTCATTTAGCAGACGCTCTTATCCATAGGGTTAAGTGTCTTGCTCAAGGGCACAGACAGATTTTTCAGCTAGTCTGAGAACTTTTCGGTTTGCTAGGCTACCTGCTGCCCAATTTCCTTGGTGAAGAGAATTCTTCTGTGTTGTGTTCTCCATATGGTGTAAGTGTGACTGTATGTCATAACAGATTGACTTGCTCTGGGGATAAAGGTGGTGCCAAGAGCAGATGGCGAGTAAAACTACACAATAAATCTTAAAATCAGCCCATACAGCCTGGCTGCAGTCCACATGCCCTTTAATAAAACACACGCCACAGAAGCTATAAACAAAAGCCTGGTGGAACTGGAATCCATCTAAAAATAATAATAAACTATAATCTTCATAATGAGTTTCAAACTTCATTCAATAAGTGATGAATTGTGAATATTGCACTCCAATGAAGCCTCAAAGTGTTTGTGTAATATCCAATAGAATTGAATGATTTCTTCATAAATGGTAATTAACAACCAAATAGACTACACATAGGAGAGTTCTGAATGCTTCTCTGTTGTAGCCCTTCCAGCTTTTCAGGCTATGGTGTGAAATAGGCTTGTTGAAGTGATGTCCTTATATTATTAGTTATCGTTAATGCAGTCTGTGTGCTTATCAATGCACAAGCACCCCCCCCCCCCCACCCACACTCCTATCAATAAATTAACATTTTCCAAAATAAAGTCATACACAAGTTTTGGTGTGCGTGAAGTTTCAAATGCATTCTGTCATTACTAAACGTGTAATGTGATAGGAATTTTAAAATGACTGTTTAACAAACAAAAAAACATTTGATTAGCCTAATAAAAATATTGAATCAGTAGTCTTCCTCAAATGAAGGGGATGATGATGCAATCTTTGCGAAAGGTAGGGAATCTGATTTCATTGGTCAACTCGTGGCTCAGACACTTAAAATGGAGTTAGCCCTAAGTTAGACCCTTTTCACACTATGATAGATTCTGTAGAGCAGGGTTCCCCAACTGGCGGCCCACGGCGGTTTTATTTGGCCCCTCCTGTTTTCAGCACATTTTGTTTTTCATGGTTGGACATAAGACTAAAAAACAGGAAATCAGCTCCAAGTTATTTACATTTTGGAAATCTGTTCCCAAGTATTCCCACACACAAGAGAGAGACATGATCGTTTCCAAGGTTTGAAATGATTATGTTTTAGTCAAATATTATATCTGTTTGGGATTCTTGCTGTCAATTTGCAGTCTACAAATTATTTCTAATTATGTTCCGGCCCCCCGACCATCCGCTCAAGAAAAAAAACGGCCCGCTGCTAGTTGATGATCCCTGCTCTAAAGGCTTCGAGAGAATACCCTCAGCTATATATTTTTATACAATATGAACTTGCTACGTCTCTACTGCTACCTCCAGAGGTAGAGTGCGACACTCGACCGACAGTTGCACCCCCTCAGAGCAGGGTAGTGTGAACAGATTTGTCTCGTTCAGCCCAACACTCCTACAGTATAAATGGTAATAGCTGAGCAATAATTCTGAAACAGCTGAACTGTATAGACATTAGGGCTGTCCCCGACAAAAAAAAATCTTTGTCGACCGAGAGTCGTCTGTTCTTTCGAACCAATCGATTGGTCAAAATGTTAAAACATGTATTTTTCCATATATTGACACATCCTATGAGTTTTAATCAAATCAACTACATGCAGTGAGCTTGTCTGATGGTTTAAGCGCACTGTTTGATGAAATAATTAAGACACACAAATTACTAGAGGGAGTCCGACCATAATTGATCAGATTTTGCCGGGCCAGGCTCAGACTTGCTGCGCTGTTAGAAAAAAATGACAGCGAGTGACTGTGACAATAGCACCTAGGGCTGTCCACAACTAAAAACAATCTTGGTCGACCGAGAGTCGTCTGTTCTTTCGACCAATCGATAGGTCGACATTTTCTCACTTGTATTTTTATATTTATAGACACACCCTATGTTTGAATCAACTATATGTAGGCTACTGAGCTTGTCTGATGCTTTAAGCACTGCGATTAAAAATGAAGGCACACAAATGACTAAAGAGAGAGCGAGCCAGAGATCAATATAGCCTAACCAGAAGAACAAAAACCTGTTCCCGACCCTCCTCCCGCTGCTGCTGGCCTTCGCAGATTCTGCCATTATGCTCCTGAAGTTGCCGGTAATAGGCTACACCAGCGGTCAGCAACCTTTTGCATTTGGAGTGCCAAGTTATTGTACCGTTTCTACTGATCTGCGTCCCAGTTATGATTTTCTTATGCACATTAAACGTGGAACAGTTTAATTTAATTTATAATATAGTCTTCATATCTCAAAATCAATGTCATGTGGTTAATCAAAATTCGATCTAAATGAAAATGACACAAATCTAAAAATAACTTCTATTGCCATTGCCAATACAGTGGGGCAAAAAAGTATTTAGTCAGCCACCAATTGTGCAAGTTCTCCCACTTAAAAAGATGAGAGAGGCCTGTCATTTTCATCATAGGTACACGTCAACTATGACAGACAAATTGAGAATAAAAAAATCCAGAAAATCACATTGTAGGATTTTTAATGAATTTATTTGCAAATCATGGTGGAAAATAAGTATTTGGTCACCTACAAACAAGCAAGATTTCTGGCTCTCACAGACCTGTAACTTCTTCTTTAAGAGGCTCCTCTGTCCTCCACTCGTTACCTGTATTAATGGCACCTGTTTGAACTTGTTAACTGTGATGCAGTGGTCTAAGGCACTGCATCACAGTGCTAACTGTGCCACTAGATCCTGGTTCGAATCCAGGCTCTGTCGCAGCCGGCCGCGACTGGGAGACTCATGGGCGGTGCACAATTGGCCCAGCGTCGTCCAGGGTAGGGGAGGGAATGGCCGGCAGGGATGTAGCTCAGTTGATAGAGCATGGCGTTTGCAACGCCAGGGTTGTGGGTTCGATTCCCACGGGGGGCCAGTATAAAAAAAATATGTATTCACTAACTGTAAGTCGCACTGGATAAGAGCGTCTGCTAAATGACTAAAATGTAAATGTAAATAAAAGACACCTGTCCACAACCTCAAACAGTCACACTCCAAACTCCACTATGGTCAAGACCAAAGAGCTGTCAAAGGACACCAGAAACAAAATTGTAGACCTGCACCAGGCTGGGAAGACTGAATCTGCAATAGGTAAGCAGCTTGGTTTGAAGAAATCAACTGTGGGAGCAATTATTAGGAAATGGAAGACATACAAGACCACTAATAATCTCCCTCGATCTGGGGCTCCACGCAAGATCTCACCCCGTGGGGTCAAAATGATCACAAGAACGGTGAGCAAAAATCCCAGAACCACACGGGGGGACCTAGTGAATGACCTGCAGAGAGCTGGGACCAAAGTAACAAAGCCTACCATCAGTAACACACTACTCCGCCAGGGACTCAAATCCTGCATTGCCAGACGTGTCCCCCTGCTTAAGCCAGTACATGTCCAGGCCCGTCTGAAGTTTGCTAGAGTGCATTTGGATGATCCAGAAGAGGATTGGGAGAATGTCATATGGTCAGATGAAACCAAAATATAACTTTTTGGTAAAAACTCAACTCATCGTGTTTGGAGGACAAAGAATGCTGAGTTGCATCCAAAGAACACCATACCTACTGTGAAGCATGGGGGTGGAAACTTCATGCTTTGGGGCTGTTTTTCTGCAAAGGGACCAGGACGACTGATCCGTGTAAAGGAAAGAATGAATGGGGCCATGTATCGTGAGATTTTGAGTGAAAACCTCCTTCCATCAGCAAGGGCATTGAAGATGAAACGTGGCTGGGTCTTTTAGCATGACAATGATCCCAAACACACCTCCCGGGCAACGAAGGAGTGGCTTCGTAAGAAGCATTTCAAGGTCCTGGAGTGGCCTAGCCAGTCTCCAGATCTCAACCCCATAGAAAATCTTTGGAGGGAGTTGAAAGTCCGTGTTGCCCAGCGACAGCCCCAAAACATCACTGCTCTAGAGGAGATCTGCATGGAGGAATGGGCCAAAATACCAGCAACAGTGTGTGAAAACCTTGTGAAGACTTACAGAAAACGTTTGACCTGTGTCATTGCCAACAAGGGGTATATAACAAAGTAGAGAAACTTTTGTTATTGACCAAATACTTATTTTCCACCATAATTTGCAAATAAATTCATAAAAAATCCTACAATGTGATTTTCTGGATTCTTTTTTCTCAATTTGTCTGTCATAGTTGACGTGTACCTATGATGAAAATTACAGGCCTCTCTCATCTTTTTAAGTGGGAGAACTTGCACAATTGTTGGCTGACTAAATACTTTTTTTCCCCACTGTATGTAAAAATAGCCTACTTAAAGCCAACAAAATAAAAACAATGCAGCCCACAGGTAGAAAATATCCTGATAAAAATAGAAATCCTATAAATCACATTGGCTATGCATTGCCTGTCTGCAACAAACTTGAAACGCTGCATCGACTATTGTATTAACTTGGTCCAGCCCGGAAGCTCGTGCTAGCAAACATGCAACATTGTATGAAATATTTCCCAGCCAGTGAGCTACGGACAGACAGACACAGCTGTAGGCTATTTGCGCAAGGGATAAGAAGTAAAAAGACAATTAACATTGACAACTCGTAAAAGTAATGAAATAAACCAAAACTTTTTTCTCACAAGTGCAGCCTAGGTTGTACGCTCTGTAAACAACGTGTCCACTCCTACAATTACAACGGTAAGACTTTAATAATAATATATTTAATGAATTAATTAACAGAAATTACCGTAACCAAACGAACATTGTAGATTAGAAATGATGGGAATTAACAGTAAATGTACTACTGGTGATACTGGTGTGCCATCACCTGCATTAAAGAATTCTCTGCAATGGATTAGTCCACTCAGACAGGAGTCTCGTTTTTATATATATATTTGCCACTGCTCGACTAAAAAAATCTCAGTCGACCAACAGCCTACCGACAACAACTAATAACAACAAGATAACTAATGTAAAGCATATTGTGTCCATAATAAGTATACAGGTTATAGGTTGAGAGATTTTGTGAATCAGGAGTAAAAACAAACAAAATTGAAATATTGTCAAAATTGACTGTGTCCATAAAATGTATATAGTATGTATAAACTGGAAGTAGAGGCCTAAGCATTGTTGTTCACTAGTTTACTCCAATTAGGGAAGGGGTGGTGGGGTTGGAAAGTAATAAAGGGAAATATATTTTTTTAAAGGATATGTACAGTGAGGGAAAAAAGTATTTGATCCCCTGCTGATTTTGTACGTTTGCCCACTAACAAAGAAATGACCAGTCTATAATTTTAATGGTAGGTTTATTTGAACAGTGAGACAGAATAACAACAAAAAAATCCAGAAAAACGCATGTCAAAAATGTTATGAATTGATTTGCATTTTAATGAGGGAAATAAGTATGACCCCCTCTCAATCAGAAAGATTTCTGGCTCCCAGGTGTCTTTCATACAGGTAACAAACTGAGATTAGGAGCACACTCTTAAATGGAGTGCTCCTAATCTCAGCTTGTTACCTGTATAAAAGACACCTGTCCACAGAAGCAATCAATCAATCAGATTCCAAACTCTCCACCATGGCCAAGACCAAAGAGCTCTCCAAGGATGTCAGGGACAAGATTGTAGACCTACACAAAGCTGGAATGGGCTACAAGACCATCGCCAAGCAGCTTGGTGAGAAGGGAATGGTAGAAACACAAAATAACTGTCAATCTCCCTCGGCCTGGGGCTCCATGCAAGTTCTCCCCTCGTGGAGTTGCAATGATCATGAGAACGGTGAGGAATCAGCCCAGAACTACACGGGAGGATCTTGTCAATTATCTCAAGGCAGCTGGGACCATAGTCACCAAGAAAACAATTGGTAACACACTACGCCGTGAAGGACTGAAATCCTGCAGCGCCCGCAAGGTCCCCCTGCTCAAGAAAGCACATATACAGGCCCGTCTGAAGTTTGCCAATGAACATCTGAATGATTCAGAGGAGAACTGGGTGAAAGTGTTGTGGTCAGATGAGACCAAAATCGAGCTCTTTGGCATCAACTCAACTCGCCGTGTTTGGAGGAGGAGGAATGCTGCCTATGACCCCAAGAACACCATCCCCACCGTCAAACATGGAGGTGGAAACATTATGCTTTCGGGGTGTTTTTCTGCTAAGGGGACAAGACAACTTCACCGCATCAAAGGGACGATGGACGGCGCCATGTACCGTCAAATCTTGGGTGAGAACCTTCCCTTAGCCAGGGCATTGAAAATGGGTCGTGGATGGGTATTCCAGCATGACAATGACCCAAAACACACGGCCAAGGCAACAAAGGAGTGGCTCAAGAAGAAGCACATTAAGGTCCTGGAGTGGCCTAGCCAGTCTCCAGACCTTAATCCCATAGAAAATCTGTAGAGGGAGCTGAAGGTTCGAGTTGCCAAATGTCAGCCTCGAAACCTGAATGACTTGGAGAAGATCTGCAAAGAGGAGTGGGACAAAATCCCTCCTGAGATGTGTGCAAACCTGGTGGCCAACTACAAGAAACGTCTGACCTCTGATTACAAACAAGGGTTTTGCCACCAAGTACTAAGTCATGTTTTGCAGAGGGGTCAAATACTTATTTCCCTCATTAAAATTCAAATCAATTCATAACATTTTTGACATGTGTTTTTCTGGATTTTTTTGGTCGTTATTCTGTCTCTCACTGTTCTTCAAATAAACCTACCATTAAAATTATAGACTGATCATGTCTTTGTCAGTGGGCAAACGTAAAAAATCAGCAGGGGATCAAATACTTTTCCCCCTCACTGTATATACAGTGGGGAGAACAAGTATTTGATACACTGCCGATTTTGCAGGTTTTCCTACTTACAAAGCATGTAGAGGTCTGTAATTTTATCATAGGTACACTTCAACTGTGAGAGACGGAATCTAAAACAAAAATCCTGAAAATCACATTGTATGATTTTTAAGTAATTAATTTGCATTTTATTGCATGACATAAGTATTTGATACATCAGAAAAGCAGAACTTAATATTTGGTACAGAAACCTTTGTTTGCAATTACAGAGGTCATACGTTTCCTGTAGGTCTTGACCAGGTTTGCACACACTGCAGCAGGGATTTTGGCCCACTCCTCCATACAGATCTTCTCCAGATCCTTCAGGTTTCGGGGCTGTCGCTGGGCAATACGGACTTTCAGCTCCCTCCAAATACTTTCTATTGGGTTCAGGTCTGGAGACTGGCTAGGCCACTCCAGGACCTTGAGATGCTTCTTACGGAGCCACTCCTTAGTTGCCCTGGCTGTGTGTTTCGGGTCGTTGTCATGCTGGAAGACCCAGCCACGACCCTTCTTCAATGCTCTTACTGAGGGAAGGAGGTTGTTGGCCAAGATCTCGCGATACATGGCCCCATCCATCCTCCCCTCAATACGGTGCAGTCGTCCTGTCCCCTTTGCAGAAAAGCATCCCCAAAGAATGATGTTTCCACCTCCATGCTTCACGGTTGGGATGGTGTTCTTGGGGTTGTACTCATTGTTCTTCCTCCAAACACGGCGAGTGGAGTTTAGACCAAAAAGCTCTATTTTTGTCTCATCAGACCACATGACCTTCTCCCATTCCTCCTCTGGATCATCCAGATGGTCATTGGCAAACTTCGGACGGGCCTGGACATGCGCTGGCTTGAGCAGGGGGACCTTGCGTGCGCTGCAGGATTTTAATCCATGACGGCGTAGTGTGTTACTAATGGTTTTCAGACTGTGGTCCCAGCTCTCTTCAGGTCATTGACCAGGTCCTGCCATGTAGTTCTGGGCTGATCCCTCACCTTCCTCATGATCATTGATGCCCCACGAGGTGAGATCTTGCATGGAGCCCCAGACCGAGGGTGATTGACCGTCATCTTGAACTTCTTCTATTTTCTAATAATTGCGCCAACAGTTGTTGCCTTCTCACCAAGCTGCTTGCCTATTGTCCTGTAGCCCATCCCAGCCTTGTGCAGGTCTACAATTTTATCCCTGATGTCCTTACACAGCTCTCTGGTCTTGGCCATTGTGGAGAGGTTGGAGTCTGTTTGATTGAGTGTGTGGACAGGTGTCTTTTATACAGGTAACGAGTTCAAACAGGTGCAGTTAATACAGGTAATGAGTGGAGAACAGGAGGGCTTCTTAAAGAAAAACTAACACGTCTGTGAGAGCCGGAATTCTTACTGGTTGGTAGGTGATCAAATACTTATGCCATGCAATAAAATGCAAATGAATTACTTAAAAATCATACAATGTGATTTTCTGGATTTTTGTTTTAGATTCCGTCTCTCACAGTTGAAGTGTACCTATGATAAAAATTACAGACCTCTACATGCTTTGTAAGTAGGAAAACCTGCAAAATCGGCAGTGTATCAAATACTTGTTCTCCCCACTGTATGTATGTATATGTTTGTATATTCATATACATACACATGTATGTATGTATGTATGTATGTATATGTAATACATATATAATACACACACATTTATATATACACACATATATATATACACATATATATATATATATATTTGCGAGGGAAAAAAACATATGGGGGATTGGAAGTGATGCAGACAATTACATTGATGGAAGTTACAATCTATCTGCAACATTAAAGCTGATCTACCCCCTCCCCCCCAAAAAAAAGAAAACAGCCTATCGACCAAACAATCTACCAGTCGACTAAATGGGTTCAGCCCTACTAGCACCCGTTGTCTCTCTCCTCGCTGCTGCAGCGACCACCACATAACATCAACATTGTTTATCGCGCTGTCCGTGTTGCTGAAGCTGCAACATAATTACAGCCAATTCATGACTGAAAAGTTCTGTTACCGAAATCCTTCATTTGTTTAGGAAAAACATTCCCTATTCCCTCAACCCTTGCTCTCTTTACGTGACACGTGTGCATCGCATGCACGTGACGAATAGGGCCTGACCTATAGCATATCACAATCACATCAATAAATTGGTTATTGCGAACACCGTAACGCATGTGATGAGCAAAATGGATGCAGAAGACTTAACAAATAAACTGTAAACGGGGGAATGTTTACTGGTTGCACAGGTGGTAAAGGAAAAGTCAGAATGGAATAAAGTTGCCTAGTTGTGGAAAATACTGGAGATCAAGAAAAATAAGGTAAGGAGCAAGCGCTGTGTGCATATTATGTGTGCCAAACAGGTGCTGTTAGATTACAATATCATTTCTGACCGTTTGGAACAATGTAAACACAAAAATTATAAGCATGCCAGAGTGTGTAATTTATTTATTTTTCTTCACCTTTATTACAGCAAAGACTAAAATCAGTTGCATTCATTCGTGAATGCAATTTCCAAAATGGAACAGTTTATTTATTATTTACGCTAATTATTCAAGGTTCGCTTTATTTTATTTTAAAACAAAAATCCTTGATTGCATTTTAAATCATGAATGACTCAAATGTTGTGTGATGACACGATGAATGAATGAATGATTGATAGATACAGTACTGTAGCTTATATAAGTATTGAAATATAGGCCTAAGTAAGTTATGGTATTAAGACTAAACAGGATGCGCTCTTAGGCTTAAAGCTCGATGGTGGTTATACAAGGTTGCTATACTAAGCCTACTAATGATAACGACATTGCTTATTATAATAATAATAACAATAAGAAGATCAAGACAAATGAGGGTTATTATTATAATAAATATAATTTCTGACAATTTGGAACAGTGTAAACACTAAATAGTACCAGAGAAGCTTTTCTAAAACTAAATAAAAAAGTAAAGCCTTTATTACAGCATAGCGAACAGACAAACTTGTGAAATTGTTTATCCGACATGTTGTGGTTGGTGCTCACGAAATCAGTAGGCTATAAAACAAACACTCAAACAGGCAACAGAAGCAGGATCTGTCTTATTTCTGTAGATATACACTACCGGTCAAAGGTTTTAGAACACCTACTCATTCAAGAGTTTATATTTATTTTTACTATTTTCTACATTGTAGAATAATAGTGAAGACATCAAAACTATGAAATAACACACATGGAATCATGTAGTAACCAAAGAAGTAGCCACCCTTTGCCTTGATGACAGCTTTGCACACTCTTGGCATTCTCTAACCAGCTTCCTGAGGTAGTCACCTGGAATGCATTTCAATTGACAGGTGTGCCTTCTTAAAAGTTAATTTGTGGAATTTCTTTCCTTCTTAATGCGTTTGAGCCAATCAGTTGTGTTGTGACAAGGTAGGGGGTATACAGAAGATAGCCCTATTTGGTAAAAGACCAAGTCCATATTATGGCAAGAACAGCTCAAATAAGCGAAGAGAAACAACAGTCCATCATTACTTTAAGACATGAAGGTCAGACAATACAGAACATTGAGAACGTTTGAAAGTTTCTTCAAGTGCAGTTGCAAAAACCATCAAGCGCTATGATGAAACTGGCTCTCATGAGGACCGCCACAGGAAAGGAAGACCCAGAGGATACGTTCATTAGAGTTAACTGCACCTCAGATTGCAGCCCAAATAAATGGTTCACATAGTTCAAGTAACAGACATCAACTGTTCAGAGGAGACTGCGTGAATCAGGCCTTCATGGTAAAATTGCTGCAAAGAAACTACTAAAGGACACCAATAAGAAGAAGAGACTTGCTTGGGCCAAGAAACACGAGCAATGGACAATAGACCGGTGGAAAACTGTCCTTTGGTCTGGAGTCCAAATTGGAGATTTGCGGTTCCAACCGACGTGTCTTTGTGAGACGCAGAGTAGGTGAACGGATGATCTCCGCATGTGTGGTTCCCACCATGAAGCATGGAGGAGGAGGTGTGATGGTGCTTTGTTGGTGACACTGTCTGTGATTTATTTAGAATTCAAGGCACACTTAACCAGCATGGCTACCACAGCATTCTGCAACGATACGCCATCCCATCTGGTTTGCACTTAGTGGGACTATCATTTGTTTTTCAACAGGACAATGTTCCAACACACCTCCAGGCTGTGTAAGGGCTATTTGACCAAGAAGGAGAGTGATGGAGTGCTGCATCAGATGACCTGGCCTCCACAATCACCCGACCTCAACCCAATTGAGATGGTTTGGGATGAGTTGGACCGCAGAGTGAAGGAAAAGCAGCCAACAAGTGCTCAGCATATGCGGGAACTCCTTCAGGACTGTCGGAAAAGCATTCCAGGTGAAGCTGGTTGAGAGAATGCCAAGAGTGTGCAAAGCTGTTATCAAGGCAAAGGGTAGTTACTTTGAAGAATCTCAAATATGATTTGTTTAACACTTTTTGGGTTACTACATGATTCCATGTGTGTTATTTCATAGTTTTGATGTCTTCACTATTATTCTACAATGTAGAAAATAGTAAAAATAAAGAAAAACCCTTGAATGAGTAGGTGTGTCCAAACTTTTAACTGGTACTGTATATATATTTTTTAAACCAGGATTATTGAAATTCTCCCGCGACCCCATTTTCATATCGGGCGACCCCACATGAAGTCGCAACCCCTAGTTTGGGAACCACTGCTGTAGTTGTTATAGGCTGCAGTTGATCAGACTGAAACACAGATGAACTGTGCACAAGTTCACAAATCATGAGGCATTTCAATGTATTTATTTTTGGGGGTGGCGGGTATGGGCTTCCATATAAAAACAGCATGTCGCAACTCCCCAGTGAATTCACATATTTTATACCCAGTCGCAACTTGCTTTTACCACATGTAGGCCAAATGATTTGCATGATATTGATACAAAAATGAAGCCTGACTTGTAATGTTGTAAAGTAGGCTTACTGTATTTCTATATTCATATCAAGTCAAAAGTTATTTGTCACATGCGCCGAATACAACAGGTGTAGACATTACAGTGAAACGCTTACTTACAAGCCCTTAACCAACAATGCAGTTTTTTTTTAAAGAAAATAAATTAAAAGTGTTAAGTAAAAAATTAATAAATTTAACTATACAGGGGGGTACCGGTACAGAGTCAATGTGCGGGGGCACCGGCTAGTCGAGGTAATTGAGGTAATATGTACATGTGGGTAGAGTTAAAGTGACTATGCATTTTACCTTTATTGTATGCACGTTTGTGAATGAGAGGGGTAGTAGGCTTAATCGTTCATTTTTGATAGGCTAATGTTGCTTGATGAAGACATGGTGTTAAAACTGTCCTTTTGAGGCTAAAATGTAATGAGTGTAGCATACAGACAAAAACATTTTTCCTTTATTGTCTGTACGTTTGTGAATTTTTGCATTATTCAAGAGTGTAATGTGGTTTGGTTCCATTTTTCAAATGTGTAATATAGTTATAATGGAAAAGTCGCTTGCATAGTTGAAGCATGCTGGCTAGTGGCTATACTGGGATATTTCATAGGGATATTTACGCTAAATGCCCTTTGCCAAGAGCCGAACCCTCTTGCGGCACATGATGTTCCGTTGCTAATGTGAATTGAAAAGTTAATGTACTTTAACACTGCCTCTCCTTCAACTTTCATCAATGAGAAAAGCCCCTTAGCCTGCCCGGGAGAAGGTTACTTCTGTAGGATTTGTTGGCATAAAAATTTACCTAGCTAAAAGGTGAGCTACTTTCGTGGTACCGGTTATCCCGAGTTGACCAAAGTTACCTCGCTAACTCCTCAAACCACGTACTTAATATAGGGCTCAGTTCTTTAGACCAGCACTCCTAATCTGGGAAGCTTGATACATACGGCCCCTGGTGTTCAGTGTTCAATTGTCTCACCTTGATGGTCCTGTTTGTCAGTGCCATTGTTGAGGAACTCTACAGAGTGCTGCTTGGAGCCTTCCAGACCCAGGAGCTCCTGCTGCTGCTTCAGGATCTCATCCATCAGCCTGGAGTTGTTCCTCCTGAACACACCTGGGAACCAAAAGGGATATGTGAGCAATCCAATAGCCTATATCATATGGGGGACGTACACCCAATCTCAACAACTGAAAGACAAGAAATACAAACATTTGCTGTCTTTTAGAGCAGAGATCTTAAATTAACATCATGATATAGCTAGTAAGGCTAGTCATTAGGGGTGAATAATGTGTCATATGGCAGATTGGCAGTGAGAGAGTGATGACAAGTCAGCAGACATTGAGGAAAAACACCACACCACCAAGCACTGAGACGGCCATCAAGAAGGATTAAACAATATTTTCCAACAACTAGCCTATGACCCAGTAGGAGTGGCTGTGGTGAAACAGGAATAGAAATACTATGTGTGTAACCTTTCAGTTAAGACAATTCCTTCTAAGCTCAAATAATTAATTAGCTGAAAAAGCCATTGGGCAAACCTTGAAAGCCTATTGAGGCTTCTCTGTCTGAAATCATCTATGTAGTTATACAACATTGTTAGATAGTTAATTAACAATAAAGTAGCTTTTGCACTGCAGAGGTTTCTCTAATGACAAGACATGTCATATTGGGGAGGAGGGCAGAGCCTAAAGACAATGTAAGCACCAGGAATATGATCTGTGTAGTCCCGTGTGGCTCAGTTGGTAGAGCATGGCACTTGCAATGCCAGGGTTGTGGGTTCGATTCCCACGGGGGACCAGTACAAACAAATATGAAAATGTATACACTCACTACTGTAAGTCGCTCTGGATAAGAGCGTCTGCTAAATGACTAAACTGTAAACTGAATGGATACTGATACAGGGAAGTATTACTCGTCTTTCACACTGAAATGGGGGGAGGGGGAAGATACATTAGTAAGCTGATATTGCATAAGTGGGCTGTTAGATTTCTGAAGCTATTTGACTATCAGAATGTATATTTTGTATAAGTTATCAAAGATATTTAAGCACCAAAATAGAAAAATTCACGACTTACTTCATCTGATTACAAAAACAGATGGGTAGCTGGCACGTGACTGTCTGCTGGCGTTGTATTTAGCACATCCTGGTGTGAATTTTTATAAGTAATACAAATAATGAACACATTCTATAATCAAATGATATCTTACCGTGGTTATCGTACACACTGACATAAGATATGCCGACTGCCATGCACCACACGACAAGGTTGGCAATGTCTGTGAATCTCGGCTCCTCTTCCACTATCAACAAGCCGATATGGTCAGGCAGCTTCTCCAGAGATTTCCCATCCGCCCCCCAGCGATACCGACGACCAACGCGTTTACCGGGTGCTGGAACGAGATTTTTCTGTTTGGGAAACGAGAGAGCTATCGGCACAAGAACCGCTGTTAAGGCTCGTGACCATAGCCGCCCATTCCAATTCCGAAGGCGGATTCGGAACAAAGTGATAAGCGTTCTATGAATGTGGAGAAGGACATGTAGAACCCGCCACACGAACTCGTAAACGAGCGCCATTATCCAGCCCTCCTCGACAAAATCTCTAAATACAATAATTATCAGAAATGTATTGAGCGCTGCATTTCAAGTCTAGTAATGATGGCTGTACACTAATCTAGTACTGTGAGCCATTTCGCTTACTGCCAACATCACCGTTTGCCGGCTGCCATCTTCATCCAACCCTTACACTTTGAACCCGGAGATACACGTAGCTCAGTCGAGCTCAGTGATTGGACGAGTCAGCAAACATGAAATCATGCGAGATCTAGGGTTGTACTTTCTGTCGGAGCCTAGAGGTAATGTCCAGGTTTAGCACCCTAGAAGTGCAAGTCTGTCTGTGTATTCTACTTATACCTATTTACTCATGTATATTGCAGTGGCTGTTAATACAATAGTTCAATATTTTTTTTATAGGCTACACCGCTAAAGGTAACTTCCGTAGTAGTCAATGCCAAACTACACTAATACATGTTAAAACATTCAAAATACAAAAAATACCCAGTATGTTCAGCTAAACATGATATGTCCCCGCTACATCTATTTTCTCCAGCTAGGAATCATAATCATAATACTCCTCAGTGTCGGTCTGCTCCACTTGGTCCTCAGGTGTGGTTTTCTTGAAGTACTCCTCACACCTGTCTAGGGCCATCAGGTACGCTCTCCAGCTGTCCCCTGACACACTGACTAGCTAATTACACAGCTCGTTAGGGATCTCCACCCTCCTGGCCAGCAGGGTCCTCTTGACCCTCAGGAGCTCACAGCTGCCGTTCCAGGGATTCCCATCCAAGTAGATGGTCCTCAGCCAGGGCAACATGTCCAGGGTGATCTGGGGGAGGGAGGTCAGCTTGTTCCTCCGGAGGTTCAACACCTGCAGACACTTCAGGGACCTCAGCTCCTGCTCTTGGATGGCCTCAATGCAGTTCCCTTTCAAGTCCAGGTGGATCAGACTCTCTGGAAGCTCTCACCACAATAAGTGTTTATCTATTGCCTTTTGGTTTTATACTCAAATTGGTTTACCCAAAGACCTAGAATGTGGTTAGGCCACTATTCTACCAATGTATTGTACAAAGTATTAGTAATACTTAAGTGAATGTATAACACATATATAATGTTATTCAAGTGTGGTGTACCACTTAAAGTGCATTTAATTGATTCATTAATGTTATTACAATCATTAGTCTATAACATGCTACTGAAGCACCATATCAAAGGGATGAAATACATACATACCCATCTGGAATGGATGAGAGGAGGTTCTGTTCCAGTGCCAGGTTGGTTAAGTGAACGCTGTTCCTCAGAGCATTAGCTTCAAAGTTCCACATTGTGTTATTCTCCAGGAAGAGATGCTTCAGCTGTTTCATTCCAGACAGGTTCTGGAAGGTGACTTCCTGGATGGAGTTCTGACTGCAATCCAGTCTCTCCAGTTTGGGGCTCAGTCTACTGGAAAGCACCATCAGGTGGTTTCCTGTAGCTCCAGCACTGTGAGGTTGGGAAAGCAAAGGCCACCATCCAAAGAAACCAACCTATTGTAGGACGTAGATAGAGACGTGACGTTGCGGAGTTGGCCCATCTCTCGGTTCCTCAGTGCTCGTATTTGGTTCCTGTCCAAGTTCAGGTGGGACAGGGCGTGAGGGAGATTGTGTGGGAAACTTTATAGGAGGTTCCCTGGCAAACACAGTGTCATCAGGGACTGTAATGATGTGAAAAAGGCTGAGGGAAAAGAGGGGATCTTGTTGTTCCCCAAGCACAACAGATTCAGTCGGGGGAGTCTCAGAGCGACTTGCACCGTCTCAATCTTATCTCCATCCAGGTAAAGGCACTCCAACTTCACCAGGGTGGAGAGGGTGTTGGAATGCAGGTTGGTGATATGGTTGTTCTGAAGATCAAGGGTGGCAGGTAGCTTAATGGTTAAGAGCATTGTGCCAGTAACCGAAAGGTCGCTGGTTCTAATCCCCGAGCCGACTAGGTGAAAAATCTGTCGATGTGCCCTTGAGCAAGGCACTTAACCCTAATTGCTCCTGTAAGTCGCTCTGGATAAGAGCGTCTGCTAAATGACCAATTTATTTATTTATTATTTATTTATCAAGCAGACGTAGTTTACTCAGCCCCTTAAAGACAGACTCCTGGAGGCCCACATTTAGTCTCCAAGCTTGGTGAGAGACCACAGGGGATCTGACGCAGTTTGTTCTTCTATAGATCCAGGCTTCTTAGTGCCCCCTGAGCCCTGAAAGCATTGGCCTCCACCACCTTCACAGGATGAAAGGATCACTTCCTCCAGCCCTGTCAGGCCAGATATGTCTCTACCCTGGAAAGGACAAACATATCAGGAGAAGATATGAACTAGTGTGCACCATTTATACAAACAATATGCTATTGATCATACAATGCATTCGGAAAGTATTCAGACCCCTTCTCTTTTTCCACATTTTGTTACGATACAGCCTTATTCTAAAATGTATTCAGACACTTTGCTATGAGACTCGAAATTGAGTTCAGGTGCATCCTGTTTCCATTGATCATCCTTGAGATGTTTCTACAACTTGATTGGAGTCCACCTATGGTATATTCAATTGATTGGACATGATTAGGAAAGGCACACACCTGTCTATATAAGGTCCCACAGTTGACAGTGCATGTCAGAGCAAAAACCAAGCCATGAGGTCGAAGGAATTGTCGAGGATTGTGTCAAAGCACAGATCTGGGGAAGGGTACCAAAACATTTCTGCAGCATTGAAGGTCACCAATAACACAGTGGCCTCCATCATTCTTAAATGGAAGAAGTTTGGAACCACCAAGACTCTTCCTAGAGCTGGCCACCCGGCCAAACTGAGCAATCGGGGGAGAAGGGCCTTGGTCAGGGAGGTGACCAAGAACCCGATGTTCACTCTGACAGAGCTCAAGAGTTCCTCTGTGGAGATGCGAGAACCTTCCAGAAGGACAACCATCTCTGCAGCACTCCACCAATCAGGCCTTTATGGTAGAGTGGCCAGACGGAAGCCACTCCTCAGTAAAAGGCACATGACAGCCCGCTTGGAGTTTGCCAAAAAGCACCTAAAGGACTCTCAGACCATGAGAAACAAGTTTCTCTGGTCTGATGAAACCAAGATTGAACTCTTTGGCCTGAATGCCAAGCGTCACGTCTGGAGGAAACCAGGCACCGCTCATCACCTGGCCAATACCATCCCTACGGTGAAGCATGGTGGTGGCAGTATCATGCTGTGGGGATGTTTTTTAGTGGCAGGGACTGGGAGACTAGTCAGGATTGAGGGAAAGATGAACGGAGCAAAGTACAGAGAGATTCTTGATGAAAACCTGCTCCAGAGCACTCAGGACCTCAGACTGGGGCGAAGGTTCACCTTCTAACAGGACAACGACCCTAAGCACACAGCCAAGACAACGCAGGAGTGGCTTCGGGACAAGTCTCTGAATGTCCTTGAGTGGCCCAGCCAGAGCCCGGACTTGAACCCAATCGAACATCTCTGGAGAGACCTGAAAATAGCTGTGCAGCGACACTCCCCATCCAACCTGACAGAGCTTGAGAGGATCTGCAGAGAAGAATGGGAGAAACTCCCCAAATACAAGTGTGCCAAGCTTGTAGCGTCATAACCAAGAAGACTCAAGGCTGTAATCGCTGCCAAAGGTGCTTCAACAAAGTACTGAGTAAAGGGTCTGAATACTTATGTAAATGTCAGATCAGTTTAAAAAAAAAATATACATTTTCAACAATTTCTTAAAAACCTGTTTTTGCTTTGTCATTATGGGGTATTGTGTGTAGATTGATGAGGGGGGAAAAACTATTTAATCTATTTTAGAATAATAAGTGAAGGGGTCTGAATACTTTCTGAATGCACGGTATATTTCCACATTGAAGCCATGCAATTACTTAGAACAATGTTGACTGCAAACAGATTCAAGTTAACATATTTAGCAAAGATGGGATGGGTCTACATTTTGTTATTTTGTTTCTATAAGCTGTTTAACAAATTATAACGGACCAACATTGGAATTGGAGTTGATTCCAAGGCAATACATAAAATACCATAAATACACAACTTGAAGCAACCACATACAGTATTTAGCCATGGAGCATGTTCTGATTCGCCAGTGAGGGGCCAAGCCTTGACACACCCACAACTGGTTTATTCTGCAAAACCAAGCCCTCTTTGGTTGTGAAAATAGCTACAATATTTCTGACCCCCCCCCCCCCCCAAACCTCTAGCTCTGCCACCAGCGCTTAGATTGACCATTGCGTTAGGTTTGTTCAGGGGTGCAACTTTCACTGGTGACATGTCCCCCCCACATTCTGAAATGGCATTTTTGTCCCCCCCAGTTTTATCATTGGAATGTGATGCAAAACAAGGCAACTGTGTGCTTTAGGACCATGCGGACGCCTCCGAGCGGTTGGGTAGGCTGTTTGGAGTGTTTATCCGACCAGATAAAAATATATATAAAAAAAAAGGTTATGTCCCCCCCACTTCTAAAACCAAAGTTGAGCTCCTGGGTTTGTTAATGATTGCAAATTATGTGACCCTCCCCTGGACTAAATTTTAAAATACTAACCTCCCCCTAACTCAAATTGAAAAAGCATTACCCTCCCCATTTTCCTCCAGGTAACAATTGTGTACATTTCTGTGAGCACTGTGTGAAGTGCTGAAAGATTCATTTTTAGAAGCAATATGCACAGGCATAAAAGTTGGCCTAATTTACTCAAACGTCTACTAAAATGAGACTTTGTCCTCATGTTTCTTAGCTATTTAAAAAAAATTTCACAAGCTAGGTTGCTTTTCAATGTTTGAGTTTGCTTCCACTGCTAGCAAAAAGAGATATGTTGGCCTCTACTAGTGATATTCTCACAGCACAGGCACACCTGATGACTCAAGTGGCCCTGTTACCAAGGTAACCTTAAAAGGGCAGCTGAACATTTATTTATTTATTTTTTTTGGGGGGGGGGTCTTCACCTCAATGTTGAAGGTTTGGAAAGTCAATTAGACCCAGCAAACTTTCAACATTGCCCAGACGTAGTTTTGTGGTCTTGGCTGTACGTTGTCACATCGTCCAACTAGATTTTATTTTTGTCATTTTAGTACAATTTGCTTACTTCAAATGAGAGGTTTTTGGCTGGGATCCTTGATACATTATATTTATTTTCTCTCTCAATACCTGTTATAATACTGGAAATATAAGTTTATACATCTACAAGTGGTGCTTTTCTAATTTTGTTTGCACATGGGGTTGCAATTTTAAAATATTTTTTAATTTACATTTTATATTTTATATATTTTTTGTACTGCTTGATTCACTAACACAGAATGCTACTTTAAAGGGTGGGACTGTGGGTTTGGGTTTAACACCGCACTCTCACAGACATACCGTGTGAAGAAAACATGTTCTATTTAGGCTTGTATCTCGTTTGCGGAGGTATTGTCTGGTGTGGGGGGAGGTGGATGGGGGAGGAAGGAGGTTGAATTGTTCAGTTCTAATGTTGTCATTCTGTCTTCTTTTCAGTTTCTTTTTCCATACTTTTTCCAAGTATCTTACACAGTACATTATTACTCTGAGACAAGTTATCCTGGGGTTTTTGGGTATTCATTGCTTTTCCACTCTATGCTCTAATGACAGGGTTGTATAATGGGTGCTCAGGGCGGCCGAAATAATACCATCAAGTACAGTTCGTGGAACAGCAACAGGGCTAACAACCCTGTGAAACGTAATAGGGTCCTGACACATTTAAAGGGTTTGAACGCAAATTTTGCGTTTCTACAAGAGACTCACCTGAGGACTTGTGAGCACTTTAGGATTCACAAGGACTGGGTTGGTCAATTGTTCCACTCTAACTTTCATAGTTAATTAAGAGGTGCTGCCGTACATGTCCCGTGTAGCTCAGTTGGTAGAGCATGGCGTTTGCAACGCCAGGGTTGTGGGTTTGATTCCCACGGGGGGCCAGTATGAAAATGTATGCACTCACTAAACTGTAAGTCGCTCTGGATAAGAGCGTCTGCTAAATATGTAAAAATGTAAATTTTGGTTGATAAATCTACTCCCTTTGTCGCTTCTGAGGTTATTGCTGATCCTAAGGGACGATACGTCAGAGTAACTGGTAAACTGTTTTCTACCCCTCTTGTTTTGGCTAGTGTTTATGCTCTCAATTGGGATGACACAAGTTACATTTCTACCTTTTTATCTGCTATACCCAATTTAGATTCCCATTTGTTGATTTTAGGGGGTGATTTCTACTGTACAATGTCCCCAGTTCTTGACAAGTCCTCGCAAAGAGCTACAGGCCCATCTAAATGTGCCCTACTTATTTAATATTTTCTTCAGAAATATGCTATATGTGAGGCTTGGCGTTTCCGACACCCTACAGATAGGCTATATTCATTTTTTTCTCATGTTCATCAAACATACTCCCGCATTGATTACTTATTTTTGGACAAAAAACTTATGCCTAACCTTCGAAGGTGTACTTATGAGAGTATTGATATATCTGACCATTCACCATTAGTGCTTGAGCTAAAGTTTCCCCAGCAACCTCCTATGTGTTACCAATGGTGTCTTAACTCCATTTTACTCTCAGATAAGGAGTTTGTCAATTTAATTTCTTCTGAAATCACCTTGTTCCTAGAAATTAATTAAACCCCAGGTATGTCCTGCTCTTCCACATGGGAGTCCCTCAAAGCATACCTACGTGGCCAAATTATTTATTATACAGCCAACAAAAACAAAGTTCGCTCTCAGCGACTTCGAGACCTGAGCGAAGCCATAGCTACATTGGATTAAAAGTATGCTACAGATCCTTTCTCTGATCTATATAAAGAACGCCAGCTACTCCAATCAGAATTTGACGAGCTCTCTACCAGACAAGCTGAACAATTACTCTTACGAGCGCGATACAGTTTGTATGAGCAAGGCGACAAGACCAGTAAACTCCTTGCACATCAGATCCATAAATCTGAGGCCTCACGTTTAATCCCACAAATAAGGACCCTGTCTGGTGATACCACAGTTATAGATAAAGAGATAAATGATCAATTCAAACAATTTTACTCTGCGCTATACACCTCTGAATCTCCTCAAGACCCTTTGTTGATTGATTCGTTCTTCGATGGTCTGAATATGCCTTCAATTGATACAGACTCT